CCACTTTTCAGTTCCAAGAATGCGCCAGCAGTAAACATAGATACAAACAGCAAAGGACACAGCTGGGTATTATGAGCTGTCAGAGAAACTCATCAACTGTTAAGAAACTTGATGGGGATTATGTTTTGTTCCATTACTTCCTCCATGACAAAACCAAAACCCTATTGCTCCTGGTCAAACTTACCTGAACAAAAAATATAAAGTGCTTGAAAGAAGTGTTAAGATGTGCTTCTTCCTGTAGCTGGATCACGGGGTCAAAGTGCTGGTGATAAATGTGAGCATAAACTCTGAAGAGACGCTTTAAAATAGTCTTTGCCACTGACATGAAATTCTTTGGGAAAGGGACACCTAGAAAAAAAAAAAAAAAAACAGCATATTTTTAAACACATGTGCCACATGGCTTCAGCTTCCGGCTACTGAATCCCATTACGCCTTAGTATAATTCCTGGGAGAGCCTTCTCTGATCAAGAAGCTTCTTCCCACGTGGCCTCTAGCAGTGGCACTGGGATCCCAAATGCAGGCACCTCATGCCCTTAGCGATGCCCTTGGCACGTGCCTGGCCTCCGAGTGCCAGTGCCGGCTCCGGCCTTCGCAGCGGGTCCTTGTGTGGGTGTTCCGGGCAGGAAAGGCCCCTCAGTGGCTTCTGTGAAGGTAACTCAAAGTCACCTTAAGCACAAAATATGCTCCCTTACAGCTGCCTCGTGCGCACTGAAGAAACACCCATTTCCTTTCTGCTCGGATATCCCCATCCCTCAGCCTGATGCTTGCTTATCCGCCTGCTAAAATACGACAGCGTGTCCCTCCTGGTTATTTTAGTGAAAATGACCCGGGGCAGCTAAAATCAGGTTCAATCAGTTTGCTCGTGCATGAGTTTAGGAAAATAAACCAAAACAAAACAAGAAAATCTCTTCAGGGAAGAGCAGGCAGCCACTGGGAGCAATGTTCTCTAACAGAAAAAGGCACAGGCTAAAAGGGAACACACACCAACCATCTGACCAGCCTGGACCTTTTCAGCTCCCCATCAGGTAGCAGGTTTCGCACTTGGCTAAGCTCTTTCACAGCCTTTCCAATTGCTGAGGTCCTGTCTGCAGGTCAGAGGCCAAAGCTGGATGCTGTAAAGCCTGGCAATTTTCCACTAAGGCTTTATAAAAACAGCAAGAAAATTTCCATACTCCCACATACGTTTGCCATGGTTGCACATACATCACATTTCCTTCATTGACTGCTGTCTCACAAGGGTAGCTAATACTAATAATGATTATTGACCTTTGCAGGGACCTTTACATCCCTTCCTGAATCACTGCCTTTCATAAATATATCCCACACATTTCCTTTTCCTAGGAAAAGGAAACAAATAACTATACAGAAGTACAAGCTGCAGTAGAAGATCAAGTCCTGACAGGCTTTTGGGCACAACTTTCATACTGAACTGCAATAGTTTGTGTGCTACCTTGCTATCAGGAATAACATTTCAACCTTAGTTCCAAGCACTACAATGAAGCGCTAACATGACTGTCATACTGTGAGCAGACATGACACTCACTGAGCAGCCAAGACTTACATTTTTGTCACCAAACAAACCAGGTTCCCCTGCATCTCTGTTTGCTCCAAGCGAAAACAAATGCCACTTGATCCTGGCAGGTGGCCTTGTTTCTCTGAACAGGTTTACTGAAGATCTGTCAAATGCTTCAGAAACCATTCACAAAGAGAAGCAACCAAGAAATCTCCTTTCCCTTTCTTTTTTTTCCATAATGGATCATAGGCCTAGGAGTAGTAGTGGTGTACTGGAAAACTGCCAACTGGAAGCTTTAGAACGAAGAGTTCTTCATGCCTCTAGAAGCAGGAGTTCTCTTCTTGGTGTCATTTCAGAACTGGGGGTGGGTTGTTGCTTTCCTCACTTATGAAGGAAATGTCCTTCAAAATATACGTCTTTCATTTCATTTAAAAGGACGAAAAATGTGCATCTAGAATCAAAGATACAATTCTGCCTCCCAGAAGGTAGGGGCCAAGAGAAGTGTCTTACAAGAACCAACATCTTTTCTGTATCAACAAAGGGTGAGTTTTGCACAAATTGACTGTTTACAAGGTGTTGATAACCTCTTATCTATTTCAAGTGGCAACAAGCCACTTTTAAAAATTAAAGACAAAACAAAACATTCCACTGAAAAGGTCAGTTACTGAATAGAAACATTATTTCTTACATGCTGAATAATTATGATAGACTTTTATTAAGAGGTAATAGGTATAGGTAAGAGGTAATAAGGTATAGGTATAGGTAAGAGGTAATAGGTATTAAGAGTATTAAAATATGGATCAGAGTTCATATATACATACATATTAAGTACATACATATTAAGAGGTATAGGTATAGGTAAGAGGTAATAGGTATTAAGAGTATTAAAATATGGATCAGAGTTCATACACTAGTACCTAAATTTTACCTAAACAGATCAAAGAGCCTTTCTATATATAAGATAACCTTTCACAGTTGTCCTACTCTAATCAGAGTGAGGAGAGCGTTCAATGCTACAAGACTTGAGTATTTCTGAACAACTGCAATCCCAATACATTGTTCACATTTACTGATTTACTTTACCTATTTTAGATGGAAATAATGTTTCATCGTCCAGCTGATCCTGAACCCAAGTCATCAGGTAATCAATGTACTTTGGTGCAGAGCACTTAATCGGTTTCTTTATATTTGTCCCGTCTGCCCAGTGGTACTCGTACCTAGTTTGGGATGACAACAACAAGACATTTGTTAGCACAAGGGAATCGGGTGTTACAGCGGCCTGGAAGGTTCCTCTTCCTGCTCCATTCCCTTTACTCCCACAGCTCTTCCTTGTAACCAAGGTCCTCATGGTGCCGAGTCACCTGCATGTGCCTTGTCCCCACCACAACCTGACCTGAGCTGGCCCCTGCTCTGTAGGCAGTGAAGGCCTCCCAAAAACGTCTTCCCTCACAGGCACAGACTCACTCAACACTTGACAAAACGTGTGTAGCAACCTGCAGCCAAAATACCACAACACCTCAGGGAGGTGCCGTAAGATTAGGCTTCCACCACTCACACAAAGCTCTCTTCCTTAAAAAAGGCAGCTACTACTTACTCCTCCTTAAAGCTTTTTTTTTTTTTCTCTTTTTCATAATGATAACCTGTTCAATTGAAAAATCCAAAAGGTGCATTAAATTCCCATATACAAATAAAAGCTTAGCTCAAAGGCTCGAATGGGTGGGTGCATGGGATCGATTTCCAGCTTCAGCCGACACAGGCCTGCACTCCACAAGGACGCTTGGTTCCCCGGGGTCAGCCCTAGCAATGAGGTTTCTTTGACTCCCTTTGCAGAGAACTGCAAAGCAACCAACAGTGCCCAACAATCAAAATTGTGTGCTCTGTTCTTATTCTCTTCCGTCCATATAACTAATAGCATTAACATCTTTTATACAGCACACTTGCTCAGGAATGTGAAGAGCCAGCCCGAGGACGCTGCGGAGGAAGGGGTAGCAGTGCGGCCAGGCCAGACGCCGAGAGCCCTGCTGAGCCCTGCAATCCTCACAGCAAAACGCGGCGGCGGCAGCTCAGGGCCGGCACCACGGGCCCTTGCAGCAACATACCTACCTAATCGGTAAGCTCTGCCGAAAGGCTCTTGCAGAGGACTCAAAGAGATGTTATCGACAGTTAATATTTGCCCTTTTCGGAGGGGACAGCTTGCGCTGTTTGATTTTTACTTCTGAGTACATAGCAGAATGCCACAAAGTTTGGGCAGTGAATGCTGTAGTTTAAGCTCTCCCTTGCTACCTGCAAGTAATAGTATGAGGACATTTGTAAAGATCTCCTATTTTGAAGATTGTACAGACCATTTGACAGCAGTCATTTGAGCTAATTCTGATCAAATCAGGCTTAAAATTTTGTTCAAAATATTCAGTTGTGTTGCCAGACCAGTAACCAGGAGAACATTTTCACAAAAAGTACATGTGTGCCGCTAACAATGGCATAAAGATACCTTATTTTAACAGTATTAAATTAGGTCTCTCTCAAAATTGTATGTAAAACAGCATTCAGAGATATTACATTAACAAGCAGGAGGAAAAGTGAGGAATCCATAACGATGCTGGTAGACTTCTTCAGTACTAATAAACCTAAGTCATTTGCCATCTATGAACAGAAAACATAACTGTGTTTCTGACACTAGAAAACATCCCCAATGTAAACGATCGTAGGACCAGATCTTGGCAGTTCAACACGTGTGGCCTGAAGAAAAACACCTTAAAATTAAAGCCGTTATTTTGCCCAACAGTAATGAAATTCGGTGCTCAGGAAAGCCTTTTAATTTAAAGCCAGGCTTTCTGGGAGCTGTCCCCTTCTGAGGGGCAAGCTCTTCTTATTCAAGCACCTAAACGCAGGTGACTGAGGACCTGCGAACCTCATGCAGGTCAAAAGGGACCTCACAAACACAGCACGTGCATTTATTCACTCACACAAGTGGCCACATTTGGACTTTATGGTCCCAGTTCAGACATGCAGCTTGGGACAGCGCATCCTGTGCGTTCTCCCTGAAGACCAACAACCAAGGAGAAAAATAAAGAAAATTCTCTCCCCACCCTACTAGTCGAAGAGCGTATTATTTTTATGCAGTATTTTTGCATATTATTTTTATCATGCTTATTCCACTGATGGAGGTGCTACAACTGTTAAGAAATAATGAAAAGCGGTAACCAACGAGCTTGGCTAAAAAATGATCTGTCTGTGCTGAGGGAAGGGAACAAAACCACGAGAACGCACATCTGCAGCAACGCCAAGGTTTTGGCTTTGGTTTTTTTCCTTGGCTGTTAAGACAACGAGCTGTGCAGGAGAGAGCTCTGCTCTTGAACTGCATGCCAATCATTAGCTAACTCAAGGCACTAACACCTCCTGCAAGGCTAACACAGCAAATCTGCCAACAGAGCCTGGTCCAGTAGAAATCTAAGTGAGGCCATCGCACGTGTGTCGGCAGTAAGGCCAGGATGTTGCTTTTTTATTATTATATTTTTATTATTTTATTTATTATCTAACAAGTTGTGTTGGGCTCCCCACCTCCCATCGAGGCCAGGAGGCCACATGCTCAGCTCAGCCCTTCTTTCTGAGGTCGCTAATGGAAGCCCCACACATCCGCCTATCCCTAAAGGCAGCCCTTTACAGACAGCCCTCCCTGTATCCAAAACCACCAGAGAACACCCATGCATGAATGACGGGCAGCCTGTTCATTGCCAAAAGGTTAAGTTATTCTTTTAAATAGGTTTTGAGATTGGAACAGCACAGTACCACATAGTGGATACAGGAAATGCCAGGCGTAAGCTCTGGTTACCCTCCCACACGAGCAGGCTGTCTTAATTTTTCCACAGACTGCTACAAGCTTGTCACAAATTGGGACTGTGCCCTAATGGGCATCAAACCATGGGGTGCACATCAGCAGCTCATAACCCTTTTTTTAGTATATGGACCATAAGCGTTTTACCAGTGGAAATGTGTATTTCTACACTGTGAATCCAAGTGTGACTGTAGGTTTGCTTTGTGTACCCCAAACCCTGAACTACTCAAATAAAAAGAAAAGCTCAAGTGCGGATGAAGTTATACTGGAAAGTGAGCAACTTTACAGGACTTGAACTGCACAGGAAGAAAAATCAAACCGGACTTTACAGTAAGAGGGCTTGCTGCTGTCAGTTCTCCCTAGCTACTGATGTTACTGTTGCCTAACTTGTTTCCAGCCAAAATGACCTGGTCGTTGGGTTCAGCTAAATCACCCTCCTTTATTTGCAATAGGATGCAGTAACAGAGAAGCTCGGGCAGCAGAGGAGACAGCAGCCTTCAGCCTAGGAGCAGTAGAGAGCACCTACGAATCAATGTCTCTTCCACTGGTGCAGTGGGAGCAAGAGCAGCACAGGAAAGAGGGATAAGGGACAGAGGAATTCTGCAAATACCTTAATATTTTTTTTTTTTTTTTTTTTTTTGGGGGCAGAAATACCTAAGAAAATTTTGCGGGTCTGCTTTAACCTGAGGAACGGCCAAGGTCACCCAAGCTGAGCACACGGTCTATACTCTGCTGCCAGGCACGGCTGCTCCCGCAGGTCACCTGGTGGAAACCGCACAGTTTGGGTGATGTTCTGCAAACGCAGGGCACAACGTCACCTAACCACGAGCTCCGCAGCACTCGTTTCCTGGACTGCACAGTCTCCTTCCTACCTACTGCAGAATTATTGAGTACTGGATACAGTTTTGTCAACTGGTCCCTTTGGAGAGACCTAAATTGCTTACACTGACGAGCAGACAGCTGAGCTGCTAATTAACCTCAGCCCTCAAGTAGCTGCTTCTCCTCAGACAAGAAACCAAACAAATATTTTCCTGATCTTTCTTACTCCGCACGAGTCTGTTCCGCATTCCGAAGCACGGAGCAGGCCACGGGCTGTGTGACTGCACGAGCTTTTCCCCAAAGATGTTTTTTTATAATAGTGACCATGTACTTGTTTTATGTTTCGCCCCTTGCCTGGTTTGCAGCAGCAGCTCTGCCTGGTTTTAAGGAATGTAGTGCCAGAGCTTCTCCTCTTCATCTGCCTGGCTGCTTTCACCTTACAGAGCTCGTGCTGCCGCCGTCCTTCCTCAGCCACACGTCTCACCAGCTGCTAAGTCTCACTTCATTACAAGCTTCATTATAAGGGGGAAGAACTGGAGAACAGGATTATTTTTCCTTTCTTTATTGCTTATTTATGATCCTCAGGTAGCTTAAAAGGAAGCAGTGCCCTCTCGCTCCACCAGCTCAGAAATGCAGGTATTTTCCACTCTGGAAAACACAAAGCCGCTGGAGAGCAGGCAGCACCACAAAGGTTTGAAGTCTGTACAAAAATATCAACAAGAGTCAAGGAAGTGAAACTGAACTGAGTGACAGGGTAGGAGACGATTTTACTTGAACTGCTCAACACTGTAGCTAAGTTTCTTTTTACAAAACCTAATGGTATCACCTCAAAGAAAGGTTTTTGATTATCCTAATTGCACGCTGGGAGATAAAAGCTTCAAATTTGTCTTTAGGAAGTTCTCAGTAGCACATCTGAACCTCTCCCAAAAAGAACAATTTTAAAAAGAAAAAGAGAGAGAATCCTTCTCTTCCCTGCTTTCTTACAAAGCTTCCAGCTTTTCTCCTTCCTAAGGTAACAAGAGGAGATATCCTTTCCACCCAACAGAAGTTACCTTATATTCAGCACTCAAGGAACTGAGCTAGTCTCCAGTTTCCACCTGCAGACTAACCTCACAAACTGTGCATTCTCAGTGACGTGTAAACAATGATCTTACTTTGGGCCAGCAGACATCACGGGGCAACTCTCCTCTGTGCAGAAGTCTGTAATGGTTCCATACAGCATATTGATCTGGTTGAAGAAGTCGACAGCTGTAAAGCATTGAAAACAGGAATTACCACTCGGCAGGGTAGCAGCAGTGCAAGTGTCCTGCAGCTCCAACTGCAAAACATACAGCACCGTATGTTTTTATGATAAAGCCTCTTTGCTATTGATTTTTTTGAGGTATATTATAAGGGAAATGTGGAACATGATCACCAACTCATTTGTCAAACAGTCTCTGGCAAGAGCTATTGCACTTCTCACTGTAGCAAAATCTTCATTTCAGAAAGGAAGAGAAAGCAGAGTTATTTCCTCTTCCAAATGCCTGGCACATCCTAATTCCAAATTCTACTGGCAAGTTTATAATAAAACAAACATTTTCAAGTGTAAACTACCCAAGCAGAGAAAACTGTTGCTCATTAGCTGACACGAACATCCCTCAGGCCTCATATCCCACAAGACAATCCTTGCCCAGAATGTTTACGCTACATGAAAACACTATGCATGTGGAGGGGGGAAGGATGTACAGAAGGCACGACAGGGTTAGTGAAGCGAACTCTCCGCCTCCGATTATCAGTTGTCAATTCATTACCACGAACCCCTGCTTAGTTTACAAATGAGGAAATATTATGAACCATCCTTTGAGCCTTGGTTTGGGGCTTTTTTCAACTGCTGAGAAGCACAGAGAACTACCAGGGCACAGATAGGTAAGTTTTACCACTTCAAAACGTCTTTCAAACACTGATGTCACAGGTGAAATTTAAAAGGGACCAGTGGGAAGCGTTAGGAAGAAAAATTTCAACTCGGCAGGGTTAAATTCTTACCACTAAGTAAAGGCAGGACGTGATTCCAGAATAATAGCTGCACTGAATACTCCTATTCCCTCCTCCTAAAATAAACAACTGCTCTAACTTCTGCTTCTGCATGAACCCAAGTAATACAAACAGACATGAACTTAAGTCTGGTGGGATTGACTTTGGTGCCTGTGCTTGTGCTCTGTAATGCATGGATGACATTCGACAGCCATACAAACACCCAGGTCAAACGATGGGGAACCCAACTCCATCTATTCACCCACGGTGCTTTATAAATCTAACTACTACTCCAACATGCCCTTAAGCTGAAAAGGCCTATATGCAATGTGAAAATGAGGTTAATGCCCCAATGCCCAGTTCATGCTACATGGCCTCTGGCTCTTCAGAGCCCCGGGCCTACCACATGGGACCACAGGAGCCCTGCAGCTCATTTGGCATCATGTCTGCACCGAGCTTGTGCCAGGGCAGATTCCCATTTGACCCTCCTGCAGGATGTGGTGGAATTAAGGGCAGCAACACACTCTTCTAGATCTGGTGCTGAGCCATGGGAAAGCCAGGGCCATGGCTGCAAACCACCCTGCATTACTTGGTAGCCAATCCAAATTGGTGTCCTCAAATCCAGAGAGCATTACCTGTCCTCTAATGAAAAGGCCATTGACATCCTGAATGTCAACACCCGCAGCTACCACACATGATGAGAGGAAGAGGACTGACGAAAAGAGAGAGACAAATACCTTAGCTCTCCCCACTGAGTTTTCAACAGCGGAAACGTGAAAGCTTATGAGCACATCATGGCAGTAAAGTACCGCAGCTGCGGAGTCCGAGACACAGCTGCATCATGGCGCTTCCCAGGGCCCCAAAAAGGGAAGCAAACAAAAACTGGCAGGGCATGCACCCATCTCCAGCCACAGGCATCTCCCCACCCCTGCCACAGCAGAAAACAGCAAGCAAAATAAGGGAGGGCTGACAAGTTGCAGAGGATGAGGACTGTTAAAGCTTATTTGGGCAGGGAGAGGAAGCACCAAACACTGCACACAGTCAGAAGCCCTCATGGACTGCCGTTAGTTCAACGGGCCGCGCGGGACGGCGCCTGCCCGCGCTTTCCTTTCCTCTTTCTGCTCATGGTTCTGAAGCTTGTAGCATTTCACTTGATTTTTCCTACGTGCTTTTCTGCTTGAAGAAGTGCACAGTGGTGTACTTAAGCAACACGACTGTTTCTATCCCTGAGTAAGTTTGTTTTGAAGACATTTTTCACCTTGATCAATTATAAAGCAACAGAGGTATTGTAATTCTCAAATTATTTTTAATACTTGGGAAATCCAGAGGATTTCAAATGAAACGAAGAAGAAACTGATGATATATTTCTTACCTTAGATTTTTTTTTTATTTGAAAACACAGACTTTAAAAACCCATATGTAGTCAATTCATTACCAGAATGACCCATAGCTCAGTCCAGAACTATGAGCAAAAAAGCTTACAGAAGTGTCTGTGCTCTCAGCACATGAAGGGCAAAACCAACCACAGTAACCAACCAACAGAAGTTTGCAAACAATATATGGAGGGTTCTTAGCAAAGCTTACTAATAAAAATGGGCTGGCTTTTTTTTTAAGACTGTTTAAGCAGCGTGAACACTTTTTTATTAAGAGCCGTGTCAGCAATTTCAACATTCCCTGCCACAGGGGCAGCTGATAACACTAGAGCACTAGGTGGCCAAGGAAGAACAGGATGGAGGACATGGAAGATGGAGGAAAAAATGATGGTTTCACTTCCAAGACATGTCAAAAAGCAAGAAGAAACAGACAGAATTACATCAAATAGGACACTGACCTTGAGTACAACTTATACTGCACTGCAGTGTACAGCCTGCTTAGCAAGTGGCCTTATTGCCTGTACACAGAAGACCAGAAAATAACCAGAGAGGATCCAGGGTTTGTGGCAGCCCAAATCCTGCACAGCCCGCACAGGACGACAGGATTTGGGCTAATCCATTCGTTTAGGCCAGAAGGAAGTTAACAAATCTGTGCAACAGGGCGAGGGGGGAGGGGGAGGAAAGCAATCCCGAAGGATTGGTGAAGCAATCGGCCCGAGACAGGTTGGCCAACTTACTGTTAACCGCGACCCACTCGTTGAGGTCTTCGCCCTCGGGCAGCATGACGGCCATGCGCAGGTTGCCGCTGCCCAGCGTGGCCTCGGCGTGCTTGAGCAGCTCGTACTGGTGGGAGCCCTCCGGGATGTTCTTCTTTGGCTTGAAGGTTTTGGAAGAGCGACTGCCACTGCAAAAGGGAGAGCAAATACTTGGAGAACTTGCAAGAAGGGTGAGGATGCAGGAAGGAAGGAACAAGCAGCAGCACAAGGTGAGGGCTGGAAGGTTCCTGCCGCTCCCCGGCTTTCACATAGGAAAGGGGAATTGAACATAAACCTGGGGGGCCAGACGCTTTAATTTGCTTTTTGTTTGAAGCAATTAAATGGCTCCTCAGCATCAACAGTCACAAAGCTTTTTTAGCACGATACAGGACACCAAATAACGGAAAATCCCATGTCCTTTCTAACGCCTGCCTTCAAGGGACACAAAATGTCACCACACCACAAACGCAGAAGAAAATTCGGGGGAAGGTCAGTTGGTCCAGACCCTTCTCTTTCCAGACCAGCTAGGGCGCATCAAGGCTACTATTCATTAACTTGAAAAGAGGCAGCTGTTACCCAGAAAAGCACGACCCTTGGACTTACCTAATGCAGAACACTATCTCAGCTACTTCAGTTCACCAGCTGTGTATCAGATCCAAAAACTGGTGTAAAAAAACTGGGAGGGAGGGCTAAAGGGGAACATACAATATGCTCTTCAGAAACTTAGTTTTTAAATTGCATTTTCTCAAAAATATGAAAACGCTTTAGGTGAAGAACATCTTCCCAACTATAAATTTCTTCGAAAAACATGAATTGAGCTATAAAAAGTGTTTAGATACTTCAATGTTAAATGACGGCAGCAAACGCAGATAGCACATTAACCCTTTGTATGCCAGACATGAGATGCACAAAACTCTAAATATTTGCAGAAGAAAAGTGTCAGATAAGACAACATGTGCAAATTTTTAGTGCATGTGCGAAGCACACATTTCTCTTTGGGAAAAAAATAAAGAAACCTCTCAACTGCAAGCACAGAAAGCAGTGAAAGCCAGGCCACAGCATTTTCAATACAAACATTGCCCAATTCTCAGTTCTTTTTACCAAGGATTTGTCAGTTTTTCAACAGTTCTCCAGAGGCCTGAACAGAATTTTAAGTGGCACAAAAAACCCCTGTTTTGTGGGTAGAGGATAAGGGAGCTCTCCAGGGCTCGCCTAGTGTTTAAGCTACATAATCAAACATACAAGGGTTGTAGCTGATCTCTGGAGCAATGTTATTGCTCCAGGTCAGAGAAGTGCTGTGATAAATGTATTTTTCATTTTGTTCCTCCCCTCACCATTCTACCGTTCTCCTTGTAAAACAGGAATTAAGAAGAACCACTCACTCCTAAAAGCCTAAATGCTGACAGCTCTAGCAGAGACGCTCTGCACACCCAAGAACACCAAAAATACTGTTCTTCCCTAAACACACGACAGGTGATGCAAAGAACATAGCGTACAACAAGCTGGCGACAAAGCTATCTGCAGCTCATTAAGTCCCCCTTCAAATCTGAACAAGAGGAGGCAAAGAAGAAAATGTATTGCCATTGGAGACAAGTCATAAGCTTCCCAAATTTGGGGGGTAAAGAAACATCTCCTTCTTCACAGCAGGATCCTGGAATCTGGGCAGATGCTGCGAAGGTGCTGTTAGGGGTTTAAGTGGTCCTGGTCCTACTCTGATCATCCTGCGCCCCAGAGAAGCATCATTTTTTTCTCTCTAGGCACACACACGCACCCACTTTATAGCCAAAAACACAATCCAAGACATTTGGCCATCGCCCTGGCGCACGTCTGAGCGAGAGGGCTGCCGCCCGGCCACATTCCTAGCAGCAGTAGAGCCTGGTCCCACCACACAGGGCACGGGCAGAAGGTTTGCTCCATGTCTAAGCCAACACGTGGCTCGTTTTGGTGGCGGCCAAGGCGGCCCCTCAGCCGAGGGGGTGAGAAGGAGGCCCGAGGAAGGCACAGCCAAGGAGCAGGCCAAGGGACACGGTCTGGCTTGAGCCAACCCTGGGCCACCATCCACCCCGCGGCCATCCCACACCATGAGCCTGCTAGGCAGCAGACCACAGCACTGCAGGCCTGCAGAACAGCCCCCAAGATCTTCTGGGATCAAGGAAGCAGAGGAGGGATGGCCTGTTGGGAGGTCAGCAGTTATCAGTTAATCTCTGCTATCCTGCTCCCCATAAACAAGGAGTTTCTTCCCATAATCCAGAAGGGGAAAAAAAAATTAAATTAAATTAAAAAAAAAAAAAAAGCCTGTAAAATCAGGGTACACAACCATTTGGTCTCACGAGCTCTCCCAAATAAGCCATCCCTTCTAGGCCTCTGTTTGCCTACACTATCTTTCTGATCACTGCTTCTGTAAGCCAACACAGCCATTCCTAAAACAGCAAGAAACAGCCTCATGCAAGAGACGGTCAGTAAAGCACCCACAGAGAAAAGCAGCTCGGGTAAATGCAGGCTGCCAATCATCATGTGCCACGGAAATACCCGCAATGTTAACAATAAGTTATCCAAATGCCCTGCCTTTGTGCCGTTAACCATGCTAGAAGTCAACTGTACGTGAAACACTAGGAGAGTTCAAAGACACAGGAGCCTAACACAGCCCCTCTAAACCTAAACCCTCACAGGACAAGTTTGCTCTTGGGCTGCCTAGCTCTACTGCCTAGCTCTACTGCCAACACTGCCCATGGTTTCAATCACCTTGTTAGTCCAGAGGCTCTCCTGTTTCTTAACCAACACCATCCTTTTCCATTTACACCTCGGCACTACCACTTGACCCCCCTTCAAGGCTTGCAGTTATGAAGGAATCCTGCTTCCTCCCTAAGCCCTGAGCACAACAGCCTCTGTCTTGTCCTTGCTTTCTTACACTATGCTTCCCAATACTGAGCTGAAGGCATTCCCCCCAACACCCTAAAAAAAGGGGAAAAAAAAGTCCCTTCTGAATTATTATGCCAAGCCACTTCATATGAAACGAATTTAGAAAGACTTATTGCTCCAGGTCCATTTCCTCCACTACGTGGGCATAAAAATGAGGAATGTACATTTTTAAGAAGTCTGTTTGGTGGCTGTTCAAGTCGTATGATAACACAGGTCTTCCTCAAGTACAATATTTGATTTTCACATATATTTTAGAATATCGTTAGCTACACCTGCAGATCGTTTTTTTTCCCAAGAGCTTAAAACGCCCAGAGGTCACAAGCAGCACCAGCCTTTCCCTGTTAGCCCCTGAAGCCTTTTTCATTTTTGAAACATGAAATTAACACAGATGTAGGAGGGGAAAGTCCATCTTCCCGAAACACCATCCTGAAGATTTCATTTTCCTTGGACTTTAAAAGGACCTGAAACGGGGAAAGCATGGCACAAGCTTCAGAATTTGTCAAAACGAGTTCCTAGGCTTCCAAAAGGAATCGGCTTCCCCCAAAATTCCTGCAATTCCGAGAGCACTTAGATGCCTTCTCTCCCACACTAACCACTTCTGGCAAACTGGGAAGGGAAGGGCTGGCAC